TAGATCACATCTAATTTCAACCTTGGTTTGGTTTGATTTTTATTTTTCCATTTGCTCCTTTTACTTTATGTTGGCCTTTCTTCTGGTGCTTAGATGTGATCTTCGAAAGTGTTTACATCGTCACAAATAAGGCTGACCAAAATTAACTAAATTATACTTGTCACTCGGGACGGGACGACGAGCAGAAAAACGGGTTTGAGAAAAGGTTTTGGAACCGTCGGTTATTCGTAAGGAAGGTGTTAGTACGACAGTATCTTTAATTAAATGTATAAAATTGACATGGTTTTTCAAAATGTTTAATTTTATCTAAAAAATAATATAAAAAAACTATTAAGAAACAAAACCTTTCTTTTATCTATATCCATTTATGATGGACAATCAGCGTAGTTTTTTATCTAAAAAAAGGTTTGTGAGTTTGTTTGAAAATTATTATGAATTATTTTGAATTTTTTTTTAAAAGTGAATCGGCAAGGATTTGGTTTAACATGATTGACATTTTTTATTTCTAAGATCTTGTATTTTTTTTATTTCAAGAATGGTGGGAAAAAGGAAAGAAATCGGCCATAGGCCAACGACCAAAAAAGAAAGGTGCAGAGATGATATACGAACAAAATAGGGAAAGTAATATTCATGACATTAATTATAATTATTGTTAGAAAATTTGTTCATTTTTAAAATCATATTTTCCTCTTATATACTATTTTAATTATTATTTATAATTATTAGCTTAATATTCATTCAAATTATTATCATATTAAACTAACATTTCAAAAATATATTGTGTCTGGTATTATAGTTATTATTTTATACTTTTTACCCACCATTAATTATTATTTTCTTATTTTTTATTTTTATTTATTTAACAAAATTGGGTGTTAACAATACTAAACTGTAATTAACTTATTATAATAAACTAAAAGAACCTGAACTAGTTAATATAATATCCATACCGTTTTATAGTTCAATTTTAACAAACTGAACTTATATTAGTTAACTGATAACTGATAACTGAACTATACTATCCATTCCAACATAAGCATACTAAGTATATATCTAAACTAAACTTTACATTCAAACATAAGCGAGTTTCAAAAAGCGGTAAATATATAATTACAAACTTTAAATTGTGGAATTGAAGATGATATTATTTAAAATACTATTTATTTTATATTTAAAATAATAAAATAGTATATTTAAAGATATTATTTTATATTTAAAATAAAAAATGGTATATTTAAAGATATTGTTTTATATTTAAAATAATAAAATAAATAGTATTTGAAGAATAGTATTTGAAGAAGAATATCTAGTTTATTTGTCCAATTTATTCACTGTCTTAATTGGTGAATAATTAAGATTATAAAAAATTAATATGAAGTACAATGAACTTTTAAAATTTGAATTTAAGTACCAACCGAATTTGTTAAGTAAATTAACGTATAATTTAAATCCAAATTGAAATTGTAGTGTCTTGATATTTATTAATATTATTAATATTGTAAACAATTATTTAAGTTCATAACCTTTTGATATTTACAGTAAGTTTATAAAATGCATAACTTCCAATCTATACCTAAGTTTATGCATAACAACCAATAGGGTATGGCAAAATAATTATTTATGTAGCTGATAACATGCTTAATCTTTCAATTCAAAATTCAGTTAACTAATATAAGTTCAGTTTTTAAAAACTGAACTCTTAAACAATACAGTTTAAATATTATATTAAATAGTTCAGTTTTTATAGTTTATTAAAAATATAATTAACTATAGTTTAGTATAATTTAGTATACTATGTCCAGCCCTAGTCAAATATGCAACAAAAGATAAGTAGAAAGGTGGAATTAAACCTTTTTACTTTCAAAATTTCTATAACTTCAAAATATTATGTTATGTAGTAAGATATTTACATAAAATATCTTAGACGGTTAAGTAACTAACCACATTTTTAGATAAGGTGGTTACTTTTATTTGACTTATAAATACAATGACAGGACCAGAGTCCAGGTACGTTCTCTTTATGTTCTAGAGACCCTGAATAATATTTCAGAGCAGTATCATAATCACTCTCTTGAGAGCTGAGGCTCCATAACTCACATCTGACTTGAGCGTCGGAGTATCTTTGCAGGTACCTCCCCTCCTTTGGCAAGTATGAACAACAACAATTGGAGAAGAGCAAGCGTCCCAGACAGCCAAAAGCAATAAAGACACACTGGACAACATGTACACCGAAACATATTACATGTGGTTGTAACAAATTATTTTGCTGAAATAATCCTTAGGAGGCCCTCCTGAAATTATTATCCGTTTGTTAAACTAGGACAACCAAGTATTTAAGTATTTTCTCAAACTTTAACCTAATTTATCGACAATTTGGCTTTATTTTCATAAAATCAATGGTGTTTTTTTAAATCTTATTATGACATTATTAGCCTTAATGTTCACTTTTATGATACAAAAATGTAATGAAAGTAATTATAAAATTTAATATAATTTATTATAATGAAAAATAATTATCAAAGCAAAAAAATACAATTGTAATAAAACATATGTACATGTTATAAAAATAATTCATTTCTATTAATTGTTTTAATTTTATAATAACAATACTTTCAATTTTTTTATCATGACTACTCAAAAAGAGCAATTTATTGTAGATTATAAAAACTAAAATGTTGGTTAATTAAGAGAAGGATGCCCTTAACAAATTTATATATTTACTGTTGAAGATCATAATATTATTTAATGAGAAATTGAAAGAAGAAAGTTATTAAAACTATAATAGGTGTATTCAAATTACCTCAGGAATATGTAGATCAAACTTTCCTTTTTCCACTTAATTTTTATCCAGTGTGTTCAAAATAATACAATTAAACATTTCTCTCTCTCTCTCTCTCTCTCTCTCTCTCTATATATATATATATATATATATATATATTTGATAGAATATTTATATGATAATTTACTTAATGAAATGTGTGAAGCCTCATATTTTAGAATCAATATACTTAAAATAAAATTTTACTTTAAAAGAGAAATTCAATTGTTAAATTAGTAAATAATTAACATATTTATTTTTAAATTAGTAAACATATTTAATCCTAAAATAATTAAATTATTAAATATTATTTGAATATTTAAATTTGACCAATATTGTTTTTGTAAAATTTAATTTAAAATCTTCATAGAATAATTTTTTAAAATAAAATTTTACCTTAAAAAACAAATTATATTATTTTATAAAAAAATTTAAAATCTATAATATGTCTACATCCAAACACATTATTTAAGAAATGAAAATTTTAACAATAAATAATTCGAATAATATATATTTTAATTTTTTAGAATTTCTAAAATTTCTTATCCTAATAATACACATTCACTAATCTGAATTAACCTTTTTTCGTTATTCCTTACGTTCTGCATGACACTCAAAGTTACACATGGAACTCTCCAACCCTTTCTTTATCAAATAATTCCTTTGAAATCTGCATCTTCATTATTCCTAAATTCATCCTAGGTCACAACATCTCAATCACCTTTTACCACATTTCTTTCTCCATGCCAACTCATCTCCTTGGAAGCAAAAGAGGAAGTTATAAAATCCAGTCCTGTTCAGTGAACAATGGAAGAAAGCAAAAGCCACTGGAAATAAAAGTGGAGTTTGTGACTACCAAAATATTAAAAAAATGGTTTAATCCTTTCGAACATCCCTATTTCTGTAGGATCGTCTCAAGTAGGTCCTTGTATTGTAAATGTTCTCAATTAAGTCTCTTATTATGAAAAATTGAATCAATCTAGGCCTTACCGTTAGTTCCATACTAACACCGTTAAAGGGGTGACACGTGTCAGTTCGTGGTTTTTTTGAATTTTTTAATTATATTTTTATTATTTTTATTTTTATTTTTTATTTTATTTTTTATTTTTTTAAAAGTAAAATTTAAAAATGCCACGTGTCAAACTGATAGTGTGCCACGTGGCAATGAGAGTGTGACATGACACTGGCAGTGCCACATGTCATTGTCAGGCCACGTGTCATTGCATTGGTCTCAATTTGATCCCTGTATTTTTATTATGTTGCAATTTGATCCTGTATTTTTATTTTGTCTCAATTTAGTCTTAATTTTAAAAATTAAACAATTTTTCCCTCCTCAAATTTAAACAAAGTTTAAATTGTATATAAATCTTAACTAATGCAATGACATCTACTTGAGACGATCCTACAGAACTAGGGATGTTCGAAAGGATTAAACCTAAAAAAATCTAAGGGTTGGCAGAAAAAAAAGCATACGAGGCACTGGATGCTTTTACGGCTCCAAGTTAGTGATCGATTAAACAGGTAGAAAATGAGCTTAGCTTATGTTGAATGGATTCAATTCAGTGACAGGTTTGGTGGAATATAAAAAGTGTCTATTCGTTATGAATAATGAATACTCATATATATATATATATATATATATGAGTAATATGATACTATATCCAACTTATTTATAAACAGTGATATTTAATTATCTGTTATTTGCAAATACCAATTATGTGTCAAGCAGATATCATAGACATCTCTTTGTTTTTTCTCTCTCCCTTTGTCTAATGTATATCAACAACAAACTTTGACAGAGGAGAGAATAGGAGTATTTAAAATTTCCTTTTCTGAAGTCTTGGTATCAATAACAAGTTCTTTAAAATCAACTACCAACTAAGTAGATAGATGATCAACAAAGAAAAATAGTAATGACTGTAGAGAAAATATCACGTTTTATTTTTTAGAGAAATAGTGTATTTTTTAAAAATAAAGGAGAGATAACTATACTTGGATAATTTCTCAAAAGATGTGAATATTATTTATCCATACGAAAATATACAGCATTTATTCTTTCTAGAACAGAATCTTATTCAACTGGACCAGAATATACACCAGACTAATTCATTGCAAAGATGAAAAAATAATCCTCAAATTTAGAAGGCTATAGAAAATTTCACAGAGAATGAAACTAAAGATTTATTTGCATATAGAGGGCGCTATCTATCAGAAGCAGATGGTTGAGAGAACATTTAATATAAGAACAAAGCTGAAATCTTGTGACAAGCTAAACAGAAAGCAAAAAAGTCTCCTTTACTTTCTCTTTTCAGAATATTATTTTTTCATATTTTTTATTACTTATAAATTTATCATTCTCTATGTGCTATACATAAACTTGCATGCAAGGGACATGCAGCAGAAATTATGGCACGCGGCACTCTTCTATGTTCCAAATTTCCTTGGCATATTGAGCAATTGTTCTGTCACTGCTGAACTTTCCACTTCCAGCCGTGCTTAAGATTGACATTTTTAGCCATTTTTTCCTATCACTGCATGCAAATCGTATGAACAAAATTATTTACATAGGACAAATAACATGTTTCAGGAGAAGTGCTAACACTTTCTACTATTGGTTAAAATTTATGAGAAAACATAATAGAGATTCTGTCCTACCGATACACTTCATCGACTTTTGCCTGAGCATCCATGTAGCTTGGGAAGTCATGACCAACAAGAAAGTAATCACCACGACCATAACCAGAATTTCCTTCCAAAGATTCAAGCAATGGACTGTAGTCATAGCTTCCAAACACTCCACTCCTGATAAACTTCTTTGCCTCTTCAAATCGAGGATCAGGTTTGAACTACAAATCACAAAATATGGTAATGTTGATAGAACTACTTTGGTGGAAATTTCAAGCTTATTACACGTGTTTTAAAGTTGGATTAGCTTATTTTTGAGAAAATAATTGTTTGATTTTGCATCCCTTTTGAAAATAATTGGTAGCCCAACATGCATAAATAAATGCTCACCAGTCCATTCTCTCTTTCTTTCCTCAGTCGAGGAACATCTTCTGCTGTGGCACCAAAGAGGAAAAAATTCTCCTCACCAATCTCCTCCCTGATTTCCACATTAGCTCCATCTAAAGTACCTATTATAAGGCACCCATTCAAAGCAAATTTCATGTTGCTTGTGCCACTTGCTTCCATTCCTGCAGTGCTTATATGCTGTGAAAGTTCACTTCCTGGAATTAGCACTTCTGCCACAGACACATTGTAATTCGGAACAAACACAACCTGACAAAAGTTCAAATAGCAGTTAGCTTTTTCTTCTCCCTAAGAGTCTGATATATATTAAGAATCAAGCAAATACATAATGTTTGTATTCGTGTAGTTGTCATGTATGCATGTGTGGATGATAAGTCAAGTAATGGAGCAGATATAAGATTTATAAATCTAGGTCCAGTTCTAGAGATCTAACTGTTTCCCCATTCCTCTTTTACAACATTAGTAACATTGAGTGGTCAAAGTAATGGAAATATCCGAAGGATTAACTTAGTATCCTATTTTTTTCTACTTTAAAAAACAAAGGAATTTTATGTAGGAAGTTGCACAAAATCAAGTTACCTTCAAAAAGCTGTTGACCTCAGGATCACTGTTGACAACAGCGCCAACATCATTCACCAACCTGACAATCCTTATAGCATTTGTGTATGTTGCAAATGCCTTTCCTCCAATCATTACAGTACGCGGAGTAGATTTCTTCCGTTCTTCAGGGCTCATTTCCTATCATCGTTCAGTTATAATGACTATCTTCAGCATAGATAACGTATTTTGATAATACTAGGATATTTTACAAAATAAGTGACAGTATATTTTCATCTCCCAGATGGAAGAAGATGAATACTACATACTAAACACTGTTAATGAATTTTCACTAGACATAGATGCTCCAAAATATTACCGTGCACAAAAAATAAAATGTTAAAATAGAAGCTTGGATATGAGGATAAGGCCACATGATGCAACTGTGATTCGTTATCAACATCAGTTAAAAGAGGCAAAGAATACCCTATCAAACAGTAGGCTGTTTCTCATACCTTTAGCTTCTTGTATCTATAAATCACACCAAGTATGTTAAGTAGCTGTCTCTTGTATTCATGAATACGCTTGACTTGAATGTCAAACAAACTATCCGGGTCTATGCTCTCCCCTGTCACCTGCAAAACAAACCGTGCTAAACGCTTCTTACTAGCCATCTTTGCAGACAGCCATTCTTCCTGCAGATCTTCATTGTCTGCAAACTATGGGTAAAACACCAGGAATTAGTATACCATCGTAATGGGAATCAATTTGCTGCATAGAAGAAGAATCTGGGTAGTTACCTGTCGAAGACCTGTTAACAAGTCAAGATTGGTTACCCACTTATCAGTTTTTAACCACTTGGTGATTATCCTACTGAGCTCAGGATTGCAAAATTGAATCCATCTCCGAGGGGTAATCCCATTGGTTTTATTTTGGAACTTTGTTGGCCAGATTGAAACATAATTTGCAAATAATTCCGACTTTAATATATCACTGTGTAACTGAGCAACACCATTCACCTACAGGAGATAGACACGAAGAAGTACATGAAATTCAATTAAAATAATTTCACAATCATATGTACCAGGGTTACACGGAAAAAGAAAATTAGTAATTAGAACATGGAGAGAAAGACATATAAATATAAAATATTGAGGAAATTGTCACATAGACTCATAAAAGGCTGTTTGGTATTCCTTACCTTTGATGACATATTTTTATTCATAATTTTGGACACCTTCACTGGCCATCTTTAATTCATACTTCTTAAATTATAATTCTTACCTTGCAATTGTTTTTCTGTTAGATGAATGGATGGAAATTATGATAGAGGATAGATTGCATTTTAGCAGTTTTTTTTTTTCTATCAATAACAATATTTTAATAGAGCATATTGTGATATTAATTAAACAAATACTAGTCTCTTTGATGAATCATGATAGCATGCAAGATGAATATACTCAGGTTGATGAAAACTGCACTATATTTTCACTATTTTCTTCTTTTTTTAATACCTTATTTCTCAATGTAATATCTTTCTACTGTACTATTTTCTCCTAATACATAGCTTTCTTGCCTTCCCGGGTAGGGTTAGTTAGGAGATACTGTTGGTTTATGAGGATATTTTGGGATTGGTCAAGACAGTTTCTGTATATATTGTAGTATTCATTGATCAATTGCATTACCCAAGAGAGCAAAAATTCACTCTTCATAGGTAATATGTCTGCTACTTGCTATAGTAACACTACAAGTCTCTGGTTTACAGGCATTCCAAATGTTCAGTTTAAACTTTATTATAATACCACTATTATAACAATAGGCGAGTTTGGAAAAACAATAGATTCATGCATTACAGTATTAACATTGCAGCTGTTCTTGACGTGACAGCCAATAAATCTTCAAGAAAACAATACAACATGCAGGAAATATGCTTGCTCGAGTAGCACTATTACTGGAATTCGATATTAGTTGTCCAAAAACATTCGGTTCAATGTTTTCTTTCCTAAGCCAATATTGGAAAATTTTGGAGGTATATGATGATAAAAAGCAATAACATTGTAAGATAGATGAAACTCTTCTTTAATCGAGTTCCAAAAAGTACACCACTTACGGCATGAGAAGAAACCACACACAAATTTGCCATCCGAACTACTGGCTTTTGGGGATTATCGTCTAAGATGCGCATGGTGGCTAGCTCACTCTCAAGATCCAACCGGGTTGTACTTATCACTGCAGTGAACTGCAAGCGTTTCATGGTTTCCACATTAAAATATATCAGTGCACCTTTCATGAAGTCAATGAAGGAGAAACATGGAAAGGGATCAACTTACTCTCTTGTCTATTTCTTGTATGATTTCCATATGGCGTGGAAGAAGTTTCCACATCACAGGTTGAGACCATTTCTCCAGTGCTTCAGGGAGGACAGTATGATTGGTGTAAGCAACAGTCCTAGTTAAGATATAGCAGTGAGATATACAATAATACACTGCAATTGTGAGGGGTGGTGAAATAAAGAGGATGGACAACAAACATTCCAAACAATATTTTTGTACAATTTATTAACCTTGATGTCACATCCCATGCCTCCTCCCATCCAAGTTCTTCGTTATCCATTAGTAATCGCATCAACTCTGGTATTACAAGTGTTGGGTGAGTATCATTCAACTGAACAGCAACCTTTGTAGGGAATTCTGACCAGTTCCAAGGCCCTTGTCTCCTCTCCTTAAATCGGGATATTATATCCTGTAATTGTTCAAAGATAGGAGTGGACAATGGTAAGGAAAGGATGTCAAACAAAATTTCAAGTTATTTGGAAAGAATGAATTATGTAAAGATGACCCTAATTGATTCTCATGTGAAAATATCCATGTCATTAAATTTATAAAACATTCTTGTTACATAAAGAAAGTGTTGTCAGCGAAGTTGTTCATTAAGACAAGTCCCAAGAGAAACTAGAACATTTTGTTTGTTACATAATTTACTGACAGAGGATAGTGAAAATAACTGCTAATTTCTCTTAAAACTTAAAAATGATGACAATTTATACTTTGAATCATGATAACATCTAATCAACAATACACAGTCACTGACCTACTATCACTGCTGAAAGTTTCAATCCTAGCTTCTTATTATGAATGAGAGCAAGGAATAATACGATACTGTAAGGAACACTTAGCATGAAAAGGAAAGTTATCAAGTGGATTTGACTTACTTGGAGTGATGCACTGCAGAGAAAGAACTGCTGCTTCAATCGTAGAAGTTTTCCACCTTCTGTGGTATCCCCAGGGTACAAAACTGCACATATCTACAAAATACAAATATTAGGTTAGAAATGCTTCACATAACTTTTTGCTTGCTTCTTTTTACAGAGGCCAAGGACAAGGGGAGGGGATCATGGGGGCTGGGAATATAACTAAAATTCAAAAGGATTGTTATCGGATAATATATAGGTAATAAAAGCTTTGTTCATTTGATTCTTATCACTATAACAGGATCTTTGCAGGTAGAAGCACAACCATTGATCAACTATACCTAATACAGTCACACACAAGTCACCCCCCATTTTTCTGCCTACTTTGTATAGGAAGCAACCTACTTACTCTTTAACAGTAATCAAAATTCACAGATGCCAACCTGTTGAGCTCGTGAATGAAGTACTGAAGCAGCATCATGCTGCCCGTCATTAAATAAAAATAAATTGAAATCCTCAGCACTTGCTTTTGCCTCCCACAGGCGAAGACTGATGGTGTTCTTGGTTTGGTAACCTGGAATTGGCACATCATAAGCCAGTGCTTGCACAACCTCTCCTCCAACCCATTTTCGGCTGGTATAAACACCAAACTGTAAGTACTTTCATATCACTGCATCTGAATATAGCTTGTTTTTACATTTGAATTAACATTTAAAGGATAAAAGGGATTATGCTTTAAAATTTTAATCATCATAGATAGTCATTAAACAACAGCTAAAACTGCTTTTATAAAGTGAATCCTTATATTTACACTAACCTTCCATTAGGGTTAACCTCGACATGACCAAAGAATCTGATGGGGTACAAAATGTCATGCCTCACAACTTCCCAGGGGCTAAACTTCTGTTTGGTTTTCATTTGACTTTGCAAATCAGTATCTCATGAAATATGTAATATAGTTCCACAGATTTCAAATAAAGGAGATAAATCAAACCTCAAGCCAGTCCTCTGCAACTTCCTCCTGACCTTCCCTGGTGATTCTCTGTTTAAATAGCCCGTATCTATATCTCAAACCATAACCCCAAGCAGGCAAATTAAGTGTTGCCATTGAATCCAGAAAACAAGAAGCGAGCCTACCAAGACCACCATTTCCTAGTGCTGCATCCTTCTCCTGCAAAGTTTCAGGTTGAATGGTGCAACAAACAACTTTTATATACCATATAATTAAAATCAATTAGATATGAAAGACTTTGGGAAGATGCTTTCATTCTGAAAATGAATGTTGAATTTAAGAAAGCCATTCCGTGGTGATTAAAGATCTAGGAAGTAGAAATCAGGTAAACATTTGGGATGAATCTCCTCACAAGTTATACATCAATAACATAATTTGTCAATGATAATATAGCATGCATAAGATTTCTCACTAGTGATCATTAGACTATAATCATGTCTACATTTCTTTTTCCTTCTGAACTTTTTACCATGGAACTTGNTGTATTTTTATTATGTTGCAATTTGATCCTGTATTTTTATTTTGTCTCAATTTAGTCTTAATTTTAAAAATTAAACAATTTTTCCCTCCTCAAATTTAAACAAAGTTTAAATTGTATATAAATCTTAACTAATGCAATGACATCTACTTGAGACGATCCTACAGAACTAGGGATGTTCGAAAGGATTAAACCTAAAAAAATCTAAGGGTTGGCAGAAAAAAAAGCATACGAGGCACTGGATGCTTTTACGGCTCCAAGTTAGTGATCGATTAAACAGGTAGAAAATGAGCTTAGCTTATGTTGAATGGATTCAATTCAGTGACAGGTTTGGTGGAATATAAAAAGTGTCTATTCGTTATGAATAATGAATACTCATATATATATATATATATATATATGAGTAATATGATACTATATCCAACTTATTTATAAACAGTGATATTTAATTATCTGTTATTTGCAAATACCAATTATGTGTCAAGCAGATATCATAGACATCTCTTTGTTTTTTCTCTCTCCCTTTGTCTAATGTATATCAACAACAAACTTTGACAGAAGAGAGAATAGGAGTATTTAAAATTTCCTTTTCTGAAGTCTTGGTATCAATAACAAGTTCTTTAAAATCAACTACCAACTAAGTAGATAGATGATCAACAAAGAAAAATAGTAATGACTGTAGAGAAAATATCACGTTTTATTTTTTAGAGAAATAGTGTATTTTTTAAAAATAAAGGAGAGATAACTATACTTGGATAATTTCTCAAAAGATGTGAATATTATTTATCCATACGAAAATATACAGCATTTATTCTTTCTAGAACAGAATCTTATTCAACTGGACCAGAATATACACCAGACTAATTCATTGCAAAGATGAAAAAATAATCCTCAAATTTAGAAGGCTATAGAAAATTTCACAGAGAATGAAACTAAAGATTTATTTGCATATAGAAGGCACTATCTATCAGAAGCAGATGGTTGAGAGAAAATTTAATATAAGAACAAAGCTGAAATCTTGTGACAAGCTAAACAGAAAGCAAAAAAGTCTCCTTTACTTTCTCTTTTCAGAATATTATTTTTTCATATTTTTTATTACTTATAAATTTATCATTCTCTATGTGCTATACATAAACTTGCATGCAAGGGACATGCAGCAGAAATTATGGCACGCGGCACTCTTCTATGTTCCAAATTTCCTTGGCATATTGAGCAATTGTTCTGTCACTGCTGAACTTTCCACTTCCAGCCGTGCTTAAGATTGACATTTTTAGCCATTTTTTCCTATCACTGCATGCAAATCGTATGAACAAAATTATTTACATAGGACAAATAACATGTTTCAGGAGAAGTGCTAACACTTTCTACTATTGGTTAAAATTTATGAGAAAACATAATAGAGATTCTGTCCTACCGATACACTTCATCGACTTTTGCCTGAGCATCCATGTAGCTTGGGAAGTCATGACCAACAAGAAAGTAATCACCACGACCATAACCAGAATTTCCTTCCAAAGATTCAAGCAATGGACTGTAGTCATAGCTTCCAAACACTCCACTCCTGATAAACTTCTTTGCCTCTTCAAATCGAGGATCAGGTTTGAACTACAAATCACAAAATATGGTAATGTTGATAGAACTACTTTGGTGGAAATTTCAAGCTTATTACACGTGTTTTAAAGTTGGATTAGCTTATTTTTGAGAAAATAATTGTTTGATTTTGCATCCCTTTTGAAAATAATTGGTAGCCCAACATGCATAAATAAATGCTCACCAGTCCATTCTCTCTTTCTTTCCTCAGTCGAGGAACATCTTCTGCTGTGGCACCAAAGAGGAAAAAATTCTCCTCACCAATCTCCTCCCTGATTTCCACATTAGCTCCATCTAAAGTACCTATTATAAGGCACCCATTCAAAGCAAATTTCATGTTGCTTGTGCCACTTGCTTCAATTCCTGCAGTGCTTATATGCTGTGAAAGTTCACTTCCTGGAATTAGCACTTCTGCCACAGACACATTGTAATTCGGAACAAACACAACCTGACAAAAGTTCAAATAGCAGTTAGCTTTTTCTTCTCCCTAAGAAGAGTCTGATATATATTAAGAATCAAGCAAATACATAGTGTTTGTATTCGTGTAGTTGTCATGTATGCATGTGTGGATGATAAGTCAAGTAATGGAGCAGATATAAGATTTATAAATCTAGGTCCAGTTCTAGAGATCTAACTGTTTCCCCATTCCTCTTTTACAACATTAGTAACATTGAGTGGTCAAAGTAATGGAAATATCCGAAGGATTAACTTAGTATCCTATTTTTTTCTACTTTAAAAAACAAAGGAATTTTATGTAGGAAGTTGCACAAAATCAAGTTACCTTCAAAAAGCTGTTGACCTCAGGATCACTGTTGACAACAGCGCCAACATCATTCACCAACCTGACAATCCTTATAGCATTTGTGTATGTTGCAAATGCCTTTCCTCCAATCATTACAGTACGCGGAGTAGATTTCTTCCGTTCTTCAGGGCTCATTTCCTATCATCGTTCAGTTATAATGACTATCTTCAGCATAGATAACGTATTTTGATAATACTAGGATATTTTACAAAATAAGTGACAGTATATTTTCATCTCCCAGATGGAAGAAGATGAATACTACATACTAAACACTGTTAATGAATTTTCACTAGACATAGATGCTCCAAAATATTACCGTGCACAAAAAATAAAATGTTAAAATAGAAGCTTGGATATGAGGATAAGGCCACATGATGCAACTGTGATTCGTTATCAACATCAGTTAAAAGAGGCAAAGAATACCCTATCAAACAGTAGGCTGTTTCTCATACCTTTAGCTTCTTGTATCTATAAATCACACCAAGTATGTTAAGTAGCTGTCTCTTGTATTCATGAATACGCTTGACTTGAATGTCAAACAAACTATCCGGGTCTATGCTCTCCCCTGTCACCTGCAAAACAAACCGTGCTAAACGCTTCTTACTAGCCATCTTTGCAGACAGCCATTCTTCCTGCAGATCTTCATTGTCTGCAAACTATGGGTAAAACACCAGGAATTAGTATACCATCGTAATGGGAATCAATTTGCTGCATAGAAGAAGAATCTGGGTAGTTACCTGTCGAAGACCTGTTAACAAGTCAAGATTGGTTACCCACTTATCAGTTTTTAACCACTTGGTGATTATCCTACTGAGCTCAGGATTGCAAAATTGAATCCATCTCCGAGGGGTAATCCCATTGGTTTTATTTTGGAACTTTGTTGGCCAGATTGAAACATAATTTGCAAATAATTCCGACTTTAATATATCACTGTGTAACTGAGCAACACCATTCACCTACAGGAGATAGACACGAAGAAGTACATGAAATTCAATTAAAATAATTTCACAATCATATGTACCAGGGTTACACGGAAAAAGAAAATTAGTAATTAGAACATGGAGAGAAAGACATATAAATATAAAATATTGAGGAAATTGTCACATAGACTCATAAAAGGCTGTTTGGTATTCCTTACCTTTGATGACATATTTTTATTCATAATTTTGGACACCTTCACTGGCCATCTTTAATTCATACTTCTTAAATTATAATTCTTACCTTGCAATTGTTTTTCTGTTAGATGAATGGATGGAAATTATGATAGAGGATAGATTGCATTTTAGCAGTTTTTTTTTTTCTATCAATAACAATATTTTAATAGAGCATATTGTGATATTAATTAAACAAATACTAGTCTCTTTGATGAATCATGATAGCATGCAAGATGAATATACTCAGGTTGATGAAAACTGCACTATATTTTCACTATTTTCTTCTTTTTTTAATACCTTATTTCTCAATGTAATATCTTTCTACTGTACTATTTTCTCCTAATACATAGCTTTCTTGCCTTCCCGGGTAGGGTTAGTTAGGAGATACTGTTGGTTTATGAGGATATTTTGGGATTGGTCAAGACAGTTTCTGTATATATTGTAGTATTCATTGATCAATTGCATTACCCAAGAGAGCAAAAATTCACTCTTCATAGGTAATATGTCTGCTACTTGCTATAGTAACACTACAAGTCTCTGGTTTACAGGCATTCCAAATGTTCAGTTTAAACTTTATTATAATACCACTATTATAACAATAGGCGAGTTTGGAAAAACAATAGATTCATGCATTACAGTATTAACATTGCAGCTGTTCTTGACGTGACAGCCAATAAATCTTCAAGAAAACAATACAACATGCAGGAAATATGCTTGCTCGAGTAGCACTATTACTGGAATTCGATATTAGTTGTCCAAAAACATTCGGTTCAATGTTTTCTTTCCTAAGCCAATATTGGAAAATTTTGGAGGTATATGATGATAAAAAGCAATAACATTGTAAGATAGATGAAACTCTTCTTTAATCGAGTTCCAAAAAGTACACCACTTACGGCATGAGAAGAAACCACACACAAATTTGCCATCCGAACTACTGGCTTTTGGGGATTATCGTCTAAGATGCGCATGGTGGCTAGCTCACTCTCAAGATCCAACCGGGTTGTACTTATCACTGCAGTGAACTGCAAGCGTTTCATGGTTTCCACATTAAAATATATCAGTGCACCTTTCATGAAGTCAATGAAGGAGAAACATGGAAAGGGAACAACTTACTCTCTTGTCTATTTCTTGTATGATTTCCATATGGCGTGGAAGAAGTTTCCACATCACAGGTTGA